CGTATATCTTTAGAACAAGTTTTCTTAACGAGTTGTTATCGAGTTATACGTAAACAATAGGTAAAAGTTAAGAACTTTGTTCGGTTCAATTGAAACGATGTTGTTTAAATCAGTGTTGTATCTCATTCTCTATATTGTTAGAGACAATATATTAATAGAATATAGGTATTCTTTTAAAAATAAGTAAGTTTTAATAACAAAATAATAATTAATAAATGCCTAATACGTGTTTAAAAATGAGTTAATTTTATAGTTTTATACAACAATATTTTTTTACCCTTTTAAATAACGAGAGATAAAATGCAATTTTCGCACAGGGTGACATTTTTAGGGTTCTGTAGTTTTATCAAGAAACCCTTATGAATTTGCCACGCCCCTAAATCTGTCCGTTCGCGTCTTGACTTCTTCTGTTTTGTGTCAAGTGGGGTATAGTTGAATGTTTTTCAAAAACATTGCGAGACTGTCAAGACTAATTTTCAACTGATGCCACAAAGGATACACCAATTTCACCAAAGAGTTCCATTTTTAATTACTTTTTTAATATTGTTCTGTAACTGGCCGGTTCCGCATACATAAATAGCAGCCCTCGTATTCTGTAAATAAATATATCCTTATCCTACAATTTACGACTCCTCTGAATGTTAACAGATAAAATATAAATTCCCGAAACCCGTGACCGCTATCGGTACAATACGGACAATGAATTAAGTTATAACTAACAACCGGAGTTGAAGACCGAATCAGAACTACTATTAACGATACCGATTACTGCTAAAATTATGACTTTCAGCTGAATTAGAGCTATTGGCAAGGACCTTAATAGCTGGACCTCAGCAATATAGGCAGGTATTTACTCGTACTTATACATCAAGTCAAACAAGTCTAGTATTGCTTATAATATATTGATTCAATCCCTGGATACCTGGTTTATATTGTGGTAGAAATAAACAGAACACCTAAATATAGCTTAAAGGACGCGCATCTCTCTTTAAAAAAGACAACTCCGACATTAGGAAGATAACTATCCTGTGTCGCGGGGAACTTAACAAGCATTCACCCGGACCCGAACACCCAGATTTAGAAAAACAATTTGTTGGATCACACAAAGTGTCGTCCTATGTATGCGGGGCGTGGCGACCGCCTAAACCACTACGCCATCCGTGCAGTTATCTTTAGCATACATATTAAAAGAAATCATAAAAAGTATCCGTAAAAATTTTTAGCCGTTTTTAATATCCAGGTATTTTTCTCATAATTAATACAAATATAACGTTTTACGTTAAAGATTTTAACTGTTTGTATTTAGGAACTATTCAATTATTTATAAAGATAATCCATAGAAACTAACTTCTTAAATTATTTATTGTTTTTGAAATTCGTTTTTGTTTTCTCATGAATAGATTGAATAATTCCAAAATTAAAAATTTTGTTCGATTTAAACTGATTAAACTTTACACATTTTACCTGTTTTTGAACGAAGTTCCTTATGGGACGATGGGGCTAGAGGGATTTTACCAGAAAAGGCGTACGTTACGAAAAAGCGTTAGTAGCTCTCTCTCTCGTAGTAGAGATAATTCAGAAAGAAAATAATCCGTCTGCTTGCATTGTGCATTTTTTTTAATAATAACTCGAGAAGAACGCATCGGAGATTGAGACATGCTGCGTATGATTTTTAGAAAATTTGATAATAAAATAAAATTTCCTCTACAATCAATAGTTTTCAAGTTATTCAATTTTTTATTAAAAAAATAGCTGCTTTTCTTTAAACAAGCAACTGTAGTTCATTAGCAAATCAACTTTTTTTTGTTTATGCGCTAAGCAAATTTGTCAAAGCTGTTGGTCCTCCAAGTTTATTTAATAATTAGTAATTAATTTATAATTAAATAAATTATATATAAAAAAATATACGCAAATATATATTTTTACCACAATTTATAAATGAAATATTTGTCAAATAGCATAAAGAACTTCGTTCCTATCAGGTGTCCCGTGACACCAAACGCCTTTTTTATTTATCAGAAGTTTTAACCGGATATTTAAAAAAACACACAATTCCAAGTACAAGTACCATTTACAACTAATGTCTCATTTTCAAGGACAACTTCTATTACTCAAATGGAATAAGTACCTTTTATCTTAAGAAAATAGTGTCTTCTAGTCTAGTCTTTTTTTACATAATAATATATTGTTACAATTGTTATTGTGTTACATATGTTTTATTTATTTATTTCCTTTAAAAACAACTATTATTACAGGTTTAGCCCAATGCAATAGTGTTATACCATCTACTTATTTATTATAAGAAATAATTCTTAATGATGTTATTGTTTATGTTATTTCTGTGCAATGTAGATACTACTAATGTAGTGTCAGTATGGAGTAATTAACTATACTATTATTATTCTAGGACTACAGGGCATGTTTAAATGCAATATTTATAGGCCCGCTCCAATCCTCTCGGCCGCTGCCACCATTTTCTAAAACATAAACCTCCAATATCTTCTAAAACATTCATTTTAATGATATGCTGTACGAAGCAATTTTAATCTACATTAAATGCACAACGTATCTAACGTATTTAATTGGGTAAGGAATAACAATTTATTTAAAATAGCTTCGCAAATAACCATTTTTTTATCTAATATTTAAAAGATACAAATGATGACTGTGGGTTATCCTTAGGAGATAGACATATACCATCGCAGACTTATTTGTAGATTTTTTTAAGACATAAAATACCGTAGTACATTTTTTGGTCTATCTCGTATGGTTTAGCCTGCGTTTACAATGTAAGTGCACAAACACATGTTCAAATGTGTAAATTCAAATTTTCTCTACTATAATATGCATGTTTTATACATATAAACCTTCCCCTTGAATCACTCTCTATATTGGTGATTGCCGCATTAAAATCCGTTGCTTAGTTTGAAAGATCTAAGCGTAAAGATATCATAAAGACATAAAGTACGTTAATAAAAAATCTCATTCTCATTCTCATAACTGGTAACAATTAAAAAGTTTTAATTAAAAACAAGCGCAAAGTACTAATAATACATCTATATAAAATTGCATTACATATATACCGATACAGTAACAACCTTTTTATATAAAATGTAATGAACTACCATTAAGTAAATCCGTGTGCAAAACTATATTGTTGTATTTTCTTAAAACAAAATTACTGCCATCTATGAATTGTATACTTAAAAAATGTATTATACCATGCGGCGTAAGCGGCAACCTTCGTGTTTATGGTTAAATATACTAGGTGGCGTTTGTGCAAAGGGTTTTAACTTATTCTAAACTTGCTAGATGGCAGTGATTGATTAGAAAACATTAAAGATAAGTTTCCAGGCCGTGTTTTATGTTATTTCTACATAGGTACTATTTATTTACATTTTAATGTTTATTGTATAATCCATCTAACTGGAAATCTTGCACAAAAAGATGAATTTGTTTTTACCAAAAATATTGTCTATGGCATACTTACTACCGATCTTACAAATGAATGTATTTCAATTTCTGAACTTTAGAAATTATGAAATCAATATTCCACTATAAAATTTTGTATGAAATAAACGTTTCATCTCTTTCTTTTCTTCTCTTTCCAATCCTCCCCTCCGAATCCTCCTACTTATTCATTCATAGATTATCTGTCACTCTGGTTTTGCACAACATCTCACTCGGTCAGTTCAGTCAAGTGAATCAACTTTCTGTCATTGGGTGTGTGAAGTGGTGGCCGTGCCGATAATATTTAATATTATTATTGTTTACTTATCTTATTTGTGTGATAACTGACTAAATAAAATCGTGAATAAATACATCAAACGTGAAAGTGTTCAGTGTGTCGGTTGTAACCGTTATTAGTGTTTGACTATTCTTCGTGGGTGATCCAGGCAGAGCTTTGGATGATATTTAGTGCATGCGCGTAATCGATAAAATTTTACAATTCTAACGATCTCTTGTGAATCAATGGCATCACTGTGAAAAGTTAACGAGTTTTTAGCTGGCATTAGTGTGGTCGGATACCCCAATGGATTTGTAGCAGGTATGTTCTGATGGAGTTTTACGAAGTTTGCGGGAATAGAATGGAATCACAGAATTTCGGGTGGCGCTGTTACTGTTATGGATTTTCACAGGATGACGGCCAGTGACCGAGCACCGGTCCAAACTGTTCATTTATTACATTTAAATACTTTAGCTGGTGTAACGAGCAGTAACTACAGTTAGACGAGACGCTAGTTAGACGCGGGGTCAACGACGCCAGACGTGCTCTCCTCGCGCCACTTGCTCTTATCAACAGATGACTGATTATGACAGGCTAGACTCGTAGCTGAGCTCAACACTACCTTATGACCATACATTGTTTTTTTTTTAAAACAGGTGTACTAGCAATGTGGATTACACATTACTGGTATTCTTTTCAATTCTGCCACCATAATTAAATACTTATGATAGGAATGGATTGACAATGGTAGTGGACTAGATGGGGTTCAAACTCAAAATAGTTTGATCACTAGTCCAGCTCTGTAGCCGTTACACTCCTGCTGCTTTCAGACATAAGTTCCCTAGACTTTAAATGTTCACATAATTCACAATTGAAGGTTAATTTATTACTTGACAATTATATGATGGATAATTTTTATGCTAGCTCCTACCTGTAGCTTTGCTTACGTTTTTTGACAATCCATTTTTATCTAAGTAAGGTAGCCAATGTGATATTCCAGACTATAATCAATCCCGGTGCCTAATTTCATCCAGATCATTTCAGCCATTTTAAATATCTAGTAATAAGGTCTCCTAATTAGAGCTTTCTGTGTGTTTTCCACATTAGTGGTATAAAAAACATGTTAGTTTATTAATCATAAGTGTTAGCATGCTAATATATTGACATTATCTTTTTTTTTTTCATTTACTTTGCACTTTAGATTTCACAAAGCTTAATGGTACTTTTTTTTGCGTTACATTCAGTTGCTTAAGATTGGTGCGGCCCACACAAGATGATGGTGGAAACCATGCTGGAGTCCTCACAGGACTTTGGTGAGTCTCCCATTGTAATATCATTTCATTGGAAACTGATAAACTTTCGTTAACAGGAAAAGTGCTACAGATCACAGCTTATTGTTATTCGTTTTTTTTTCATAAAATGTACAGAGGCAGACCTTATACCCAAGACAATCCTCTATCAGTGTATCTTAGGCCGATGGTTGTGATTGTACTTCTCAGTGAACTTCCTGTACTCTTCGTCCAGGTCGTCATATTGAGTATGCTGGTAAAAATCGTAGTAGGTTCATTTGACTAAGAGTAATGTGGAAATAGATAAATTAGCTTAATTGAAAAGTATATCAAGTAAATTAAATAGAATAGAGAAAAAATATATATGGGCAAATACATAAATGTGTACATAGATACATAAATATTATATATGCATGTCTACAGAATATATATCTGTCTAGAGAATATACATATATATATATCTGTCTAGAGAATATGTCTAGTCTGCAAGAATATATGGCTTGCAGACTAGACATATTCTCTAGACAGATATAAATTTATTTTTAGGCACATCTATTCTCCTAACTTGGTGTGTAGTATACACACTAAGTTAGGAATTTGGTGTGTATACTACACACCAAGTTAGAAATTATATCTGCCTAAAAATACTTAGTAGCCACCAAAAGTTCAGCTGTACCTCTGATGCAAAATGCTATTCCAAAGTTTTTGTTTTTTCATGTATTTATTTATTGTGGATGACTCAACAAACTTGTGGTTAGATTGTAATCAAATTCCGTGTTCCTAATCTTATAATAACTCTTGAAATATCAACAGGAAAATTTCAATTCCTAAGTTATCAATAATAATCAAATTTTACAAATTTAAAATAACAATATAGACATTTATCTAAGCCATTACTTAGTGTTTCTGCCCTAGTAAAGTTTTCAATCAGAAGCTGCGGCAATCTTAAGCTACCACCCACCCCATAGCACCCCTAAAATACAGCCCCATCACCAACAAAAAACAACCAGCCAGTGTCAATTTGCATTACTTTTTTTTCTTTTTTACCAAAAAACTTTGGTCTAATGGCAGGCACATGGTAAAGATGATCTAAGCATTTACTTGCATGTATAGATCTGATAAAACACTTAATGAATTATTAAATAATTCTATTAAAACTTGAATTAAGACCTATTCTATTCTATTTAAAATCAACTTCAGTGCAGTCGTCATCCGTCCAATCTGCCATTTGTCCAATTAAATTTTTACTTTCCTTGTCTTATAAATAAGACTGTTTATTAAGATCCTCTCAATCATTCAACTGATAAACAACTAAGGAAATGCCATCAGTAGCTGTTGATAAGATTAATGGTTATATAAAAGCACTGTTCATTGCCAGTATAATGATCACATAATTCATAACTGTCCAAATACCCATAACAGTCCATTGAAATCTGTGATTATGGCAAAACAATCAATTACTAGTTTGTAGCTGTCATTGTTACAGATCATACAAGTCAGTCTAACAATATAAACACAAGAAACCTCTTCACAGTAATCATATAATGTAGTTTTAAATTCATTCTTAACTTCCCATTCTCTATTGTTTTAAATACTTTGCCTTGTTCATGTAATTTCCCAAAGGAATAAAAAACATCCTTCAATACTCAAGTGTTTTTGTTTCATGTTCCTTAGCACAGTTAAAATAACATATGAACTTTATATATGTGTAGTATAAAATTTAAAATAAACTTAAGATACAGTGTTTAAATGGCTTTAAAGACATGCATTTAATAAATTCATTAATAGACTTTGGGCAGCCTTATTAAAATATTGTAAGAAATGGGTGCCTAAGGAGGCCTTTGTTTCAGGACATCAGGTCTCTACCCTAAACACATTTCAATATTTTATAAAAATTAACAGGCCTGTTGGTTTAGTGGTTAGTGACCCTGACTGCTAAACCAGAGGTGGGTTCAATTCCCACCCAGAACAAGACAATTTGTTCTGTGTCTGGGTGTAATTAATATATAACAGGTGTGTATTTAGGAATATATAAGTATGTTTATCAGCAGATTGGTTACCATAAAACAAGCTCTGCCTAGTTTGGGACCAGACTGCCTTGTGTGATAAGTGAAATATTTTAAAATTTATCACTAGTAGCTTGAAATTATATTTGTATCCGTATCCATAGGGGAGCTATGCCTTGGTTCATGCATGCCTGCTGGACTGCAGTGATACCACAGTGTCACAGAGTACCAGTGTTAAATAATTATTTTGTTGTTTTTCATTGAGTGAGTGAAGTCACTGGAAGCGCAAATGAAGAGGGTTTTGTAAAGGTGAAGGAAAAATTACAATATAAGACTGTTTACCAAATTACAGTATTTGTGATGATCTTAGTCTCTCTAAACAAATTAATATTTACACCACCCACCTTAGCATAGTATAACAATAGTCTTACATTTTATGCTTAGTAAGCAAATATATATATAATTAGGACAAAGCTGACATACTATTGTGAATATATATTGAATGGCTTAATTTTACGACAGATATAATATTTACTAGCAATACATAGCTGGTTAGGAACACGGTATAGATTCATTCACACCACATAGTGACCAGAGTAATACTTTGCTAGGAACCTTGAAACAAAATGCACACAGGGCTTTGACTGTTTCCTATTTCTTGTTTGGATTTTATGGAGATTTTCTCTCATGCAACCCTAGCACATACTCTCATTCATCATTTGCAATAGAGTTTTAGCTGTTTTCTTTTAGAACCAGCACTGTTGGTTTAGTGGTTAGCGATTCTGGGTGCCAAGCTAGAAGTTGTGGGTTCGATTCCCACTCAGGACAATAATTGTGTGTTGAGCATGATCATTAATTCTGTGTCTGGGTGTAATTTATCCATATTATGTATGTGTTTAGAAATAAATATAGAAGCATGTTTATCAGCAGTCTGGTTACCATAGTACAAGCTCTGCCTAGTTTGGGATCAGATGGACGTGTGTGATGTATGATATTATTATTATAGATAATTGATGATTCGACAAAATTAACGTAATCAATAGATATTAGATAACTTTAGATTGGCTGACTTTTAACCGAAGTAAAGCTTTGAACACGGCGAGTGTGATTATACCGTTAATTCCCTAATAATGAGTTGCAAGCGTTCATGGGTGGTGGTAGTCGCTTTCCATGAGGTGACTCGTCTGCTCGTTTGCCCACTTCCCCCCCCCTTCCCCCCTTTCCATAAAAATATATTAAAAATGATATAGACAGACGTTTATCAATTTTCAAGTTAGGGATAGTCTTTAGAAAGTTAGTGATTATGCATAAAATCAAATTATGCAACAATAAATGTATTTATTGCAATTCAAATATAGATATTAATGAAGTGGTATTATGTACCACATATCATATTAGATAATCTCGTTGTCAGCCATCTTACATATAAATTGAGAAAACATTCTTTTTGCATCATTAGTGTGTTATTATGGTGTTCGAAGTCACAACACTAGTGTTTATGTAACAGACTAGTTTATATTCCCATTTAATATAACGTGAAAGTTATATGTGCAGTGATATTAGTGAGGAATACGTAACCGATGTGTGGCGCCGGCCCAACACTCACACATGGTCAGTTTCACATTTAGCAACTTGCAAATTTGTCACTTTTCTAATCCTACTAACGTCCACAGATAGTGGCCGGTTTCTATTAGGCAGCCACAATACGTCTTTATCACATCAGCGTTATAATCGCCCCTCATCCTATGAAGATCTGTGTGGAGTTATTATAACTTGTATAAGCACCTACATTCTTGTCCGTTGGGTAAAGGAACTGCCTCTACATTCTTTGCATTCTCCAGTAACAAAACACTAAATCTAGACAATTTAAAATGTAATGATTGCTATGCCCTTTGAATGTAACATGTACCGTGTGGTGCAGGCATGTCCAACGGTGCTCTGCCACAATGGAAACGCGAGGTGTTGCAGCGGCGAGCCGCGCGGTCCCGTACGGGCGTCGCACCACCCGCAACATCTCCGCCGCCGCCCCCACCGGCCCCCGCCGACGACGACGAGGAGCTGCGCTACGGACCCGGCATCGTCAACCGCCTCAAATCGCGCTACTTGAGCCTGGCTTTGCGAGACGCGCCGCGGCGTCGACCTTCCGTGTTACGGCGCGCGGCCAGCTTGGAGCATCTCCTGGAAGAACGGCCCCCTCCCGTGCCTTGCGCCCGCCCTACGACACACCCGCGGCCCCCGCGTCCTCAGTCTATGGCCGCCCCGCCGGTCCAGCCCGCGCCCGCTCAGCGCCGCGACTCAGTGAAACGCGCGCGTTCCGTGGACGCGCTCAGCCGATTAGAATCCCGCCAGGAATCCCGCGCGACCTTCTCCTCTCCGCCGCCGCCGCCGCCGCCCCCAATCGCGACTCGGCCCCCTCAGCCCCAGACGAGATCGGCTCGCACTCCTCGACGTCCAACCCCTCTGCTGCGGGAGACCGAGCGGCCCCCGCCGGACGTCGTCCGATCGACGCTTCGCAAATTCGAGAGCGCGCCGATCCGACGCACGACACCTTCCGGCCGCGTGTCCGCCGCATTGCGCGATCTAGAGGGTCCTCGCACCTCTACGCCCGAGCCGCGCGATTTCGCCGAGGGCCCGCCGCTCAGTCCTCGCACACCCAGCCCACTGCCCCCCACGGAAGTGGCGCCCGTGGTGGCGCCGAGCCCCATGGTGGTATCCGCATCCGCATCCGCGTCAGCATCGAACGGCGGGATGACGGTGGGCCTCGTATCCGCACCCAGGTCATCGCCGACAATACAAGATGAGTCGCTTCAGGACGGAACAGCTGATGGTGCCCGACCCGCAACAGGTGGATCTCGCCCGGTATCGCGCGCTGCGTTAGAAGGCATCGCACGTGCCGGCTCCACGGTGCGATATGTTTTCGAAGCACCTCGTGCCGGTTCACATCTTCCACCCCTTGCTGCCACGAATCAGGTGCTTGTCGGCCGAGCACGTCGCATAGGTGTAATTAGACCGATGCCGGCGCGAACTTCAGATACCGCAGAGAGAGAGCAGTCCCTTGAAGACATCGATGAGAAAACTCCCGAAAGGCTCGTGTCTCCAGCGGCACCCTCCTCGCCGCCACCAGTCGAGAACGATGTTCCACCTCCGAGCCGTATCGAACGCAAAGAGCCACCTCCGGCAGCGCTAGTAGAACCGATACCTCGTACACCACCAGACGTCCAACGTGCCGCTACGCCCCCGCGCAGCCCACCACCGCCCCTCATCATCGAACGCAGCCCCAGCCCAAAGATAAAATCCAAGTCTAACACGATTAATGGTGGAACACTGACGAATGGGCACTCCGGCTTAGAGCGAACGCCAGAAGCCAAGGGTGCAGTCTCTCGTATGGCATCGGCAGGTATCGAGCGAGCATGGAGTGGCTCAGGTGAGAAGAAACTCGTGGACGCAAAGGAGAAGACTGTGACCACAGTGCCGTGGGCGCGGACCACAACGGGCGACAACTCGACGGCGAGGCGCCCTCGCGTTCCACCGCCCTCATCTACGTCGGTTGTGTTCAACTTCTCCAACCGTAAGGAAGTGCCGGACTACATCGAAAACGACGGCATCATCCTCCGCGGCAGCCGCAGAAACAGGATCAAGGTCAGTCACTTTTCATTTATTTAATTATCTAAATCAGGAAATGTAGGCATGCCTTGACCTTGCCACTTAAACTGGTATTTTTTTTCCTGTGAACGATTAAATGGAAAAAATATCTTCGTCGAAAAAACAGTCAAAACAACGGGATATCAATTTACCGGCTGAAATAAACAATTTCACATTTGACCGCATTCAATCTGCCATCCACAAAATTAGTGCAGTAATGTCTAACGCCGTGTTCAGATATCGCACGCTCCGGCTGAGCCATTTCACGGATCGGTAGAGGGAACTGCGGATCTCAACGGCAATGGAAACCTTGCCGATTGCGCAACATTCGATATGCAAATATAAAAATATTTTTGCCGATAGTGAAAGTGTTTAACGATAAGAGGCACATCGTAGGACGGTCACGCGTCGATCAGTGCTCGAGTGAAACCATCGCAGTTAGCGGCGCGTCCGATCGATGCCCGAATCTAATGCCACTCAGTTTCGTCAAGATAGCATCCGTTCGAAAGTGCCCTGCGCCTGTGTGCTAACCGCGAGGAATGTTAACCAGATACACCTGACCGCATAACCCTTCCATCTTGCACTCACCGAAACATAATCAATCGATCAAAATAGACATGCCTTGTATGTGTGACACGAAACATTAACTCCGCGTTGGTCATTGTCAGATTGATGAATAGCTTTATATCTGGCTGGTTACTTGAAGCGTGGAGTTGACCCGTAGCGACACTGCTTTCACTGCGGGCTGTCACCGCCCACGCTGCTTGTTCTAAACGATGAGCGAGCTTTATTGTAACAATACGTAATTTGATTGCTTTCCAATGAGACGACAATAACATACAAATTGTTTTTGTGTAGCCGCGTGCGTGTCCTGGATTCCAAGTACATTTATTATGAAATTCGAAGAACTCAACTGTTCTTCGACTGCTTAGTTGTAATCTTAGTATTACTTTGTAAATTCTTTACTGTATTAACGATCACGGTACCGGTCCTTGTCGGTCTTGACGTGTCGTGGTCTTATTTATGTCGTATATTAATTACTACCTACTTTACCTTCCGCAATTCCTAATCTTATTCAGGTAAAAGTTCGGATGTTTTGTTAATGTATTTACGGTGCGATAGTCGTAGACCTTCACATGTTAATGGATTTTCTTATTCCTGTCGTTTTGATATGTGACTATAGCAAAAGTCTGCTTCGATTATTGGTTAAAGTTCTCCCCTCTTCGTAAATAACTGCATATCTGTAATAGCTATGTAAACCATTCGCGCAGTTATAACGCTTTATTTATAAAAATAATTTAAAAAAAAACTAATCTTTCGGCTGCTTAATGTACAACCTCCTCAATCTATACTAGAATTATGTAACATAGAAATCAAAAAGGCGACTAATATTTCTCGCGATTACGCCGGTTTACGCAACAAACATTTCACTGATTTAAAACTAATTAGTGTTATCCTAAACTAACAAAGAATTCCTGTTGCGTGGTACACTCGATGTGGGCGTGAGTGCGCAGTACTCCGGTCGTTAAACTTCGAGCAGGTGGCGACTCGTCTCGCTTGTGGTCGTTTTGTCGCCAGGACGGGCTACTCTTGCGAGAGTTTTATTGAAATACCACAGACTTACATTCCTGTACTTGTATCGAACAAATATTCTGTTCACATCCAGCATACACATGTAGAATAATTCTGCTGTACCTCGTGACTATTGCATGCTAATTACTACAAAACTGATAACCTAATTAAATCTGCTAGTTTCCATTACTTGTAGATTCCTTATGTACACTTCCTCATTTGTACTTTGAATGTTTATTATGTATTACCTAATTCCTCGGTATTTAAAGTTAAAACAGTTGTATACTTAAACCTTGTGTTCAAAAGCAAACACCTCCGTCACAGATAAAGGAAACAGATACCATCTCATTGGCACAAATTTTCCATTTTATTAGAAGTTCGGTAAACAAGAAGGTCTTCCGATGATAAGTGTTCAGCGGGGCAACAAATATTTAACGTTCACCCTTCCCACTTTCAAGAGATTTTCATACCATTTATGACTTAAAAAGTACTCGTATTATTAAGTAAAAATAAATTTTTGGCTTAGGTTCACCACGTTGGCTATAATCACGGAGAGTTCTTTCACATATATTTCCCTCATCTTGTTTACACTGTCTCTCTTTAGTTCTCAGTTGTAAATACAGTATTATATTTTACGTCTGCACTTACCATATTCAAGCCATAAGAATAATAGGTATCTGTTGGCAACCTTAGGCATCTTATTAAACTGTAAATTAACTTTATTTATTAGTAGAGTCGTCTAACGATTTCTTTACATTCCAGTCATTGCCAGATTATTTGCCTGATGGAGACGTAATTATTTCTTTATACAAGATTTATTGGCAAACACTTTTGTAACAACTTTTTCACGGCAATGTCGATAATTTTTGGGGAATATTTTTGACATAGATTGACCTCTAAACATGTATTGAGCAACAGTTGCAACAAGCAAATATGTATTGTTGTGAAACAGCAGAAGAATGAACCATCAGGATCAATAAAACCTTGACAGAACTAAAATAATCTTATCTTAGGATTTAACTCAGACTCACCTTGTAACAGTTGTGAACTCTCAAAGTTATTGTGATATGTACAAGATTAGATTATGATCAGAAATTCACGTTATATAATATTTGCAAGAGGCTTTAATATAATCTCAGTGTGTACACGGTTTGTTTGCGGCAGAAATATTGGCCGTGTCAAGAGTCGCCGCCTAAATATTTAAGTAGGCCTATCCAGAGACCGTCTAAGTCGGGATTGCTACTAGTTTTGTCCGCCATGTTTATTTTAATTTAATTACTTACTTTTTAACTTAAGGCAAGATTAAAGCCGTGTAACATCTTAATAATAGATTTAGGAAGGTTAGCTATCAGATGCTCCTGAATGCACATTTTTCAATTTCGTTTAAGGTAGGCACAATGTACAACTGTAAATGGCTGCCTTGTATCGCTAACAGGACCAAATAAGAATGTTAATTGGAGTTAGTAAAACAGATAGGACGAGAGGGGAGAGAGGAGTAAGAGATGGAACATGGGAGTAAGACCGCCTCAAGGGGGCTTCTAGGTCGAAGGTTTGTTAGTCTTTTCTATGGAGAAGAATTTAACCATTTTATTTTTTGCCCTTTAAGAAAATGATTGTATGCATAACATTTCTTTCTATCTTATACATAAAATTAGATTTATAAAGAATATCGTTCCTGGAGAAGTAAAATATAATGTTAATATTGGCAAGTTACGACAACGACCGATTGCAATACGCAATGGAATGCAATTTAACCGTATTTGTTCACATATATTTCCAGTAATTCTCATGATTCTGTAAACATCGCGCGGCAAAATTCTACCGACTCTTTTATTGAACTCTTTTTGTACACGATGTTGTTTATGGAGACAAGTCATAACATGATTCAACTGTAACGTCCAACCACCATTGTTAATATCCTTCAATTTTCCTCGAATGGTTTTTATCAACATGTTTCAACAGGTGATATACAGAGCTTATGTTGAATGTTAGAAGTTTATCGCAGTTTCATCTGTCGCTGTTCTGCTTATAAAAGTCGTAGCTTTATGTTATTTTATTCATCGAGAAAGATACTCAATCCAGTAAAAAAAAAATGCCGATAGGTCCAGAGATTCAGCGTGTTTCAACAAACGTACACAGAGAAATCTATATTTAATTATATTAGTACATATTAAAAACTAGCTGGTGCCCGCGACTTCGTTCGCGTGTAATTTGAAAAGTCCTACTTGAAAAGTTACTCCTTATATAGACAGCTACTTGGTAATAAAATATTATCAAAATCGGTCCAGCCGTTTTGAAGATTACTCGGAACAAACAGACAAAAAAATATATTTAAACTGGTTTTTAGGTACAGGTATCGTGCAAATAACCGTGTAGAGTACGATACATACAAGCATTTAAAAAATCTCGTATTTTGACACTTCAATTTTATTTATTTGTATAGGTAGAGTCTAGCAAGCTCTTGGGACAAACTATCGCATAGGTGCCTGACAGCCGAGTTCAAATATTAAAAAGTTAACACATCAGTGAAAATAGGAAAGTATAAACATAACTCGTTGTGATGTCTCACTTCGACACGAAAATTACAGTACCGTAGATACTTAGCGCATTTGTTGGACAGTGATATCATTCTGGAGAACTGCTCCGGACTACCGTTACTCGACATGATAAGCGACGCAAGTGACCTTAAGACCTTATTTCATTTAAATATTTAAAATACCTTTTAAAACAAAGTACAATAGTAAGTAAAGTAACGGTGTTGTTGTGACAACTATCAACGAGTCGTTCTGCTCGATGCTCTGGTCGAAAGGCCCCTTGCGCAGCGTCTCCACTTAACGGAACTTCATTGCATCCACGCGCTAACTCCTTGGCAAATACAAGGCATCATGATACATCTACTTATTGTTTTGATGCTGTACATCCAACTTTGTTCAAATAAAGAACTGTTTCTTATCGTAGAATATCCAGATTGACCGTTGACATCTGTTCCTTCGTGAGTCACATAAATTGTATACGTTGGAACTGATGCAGTTTATGTCGTTGAACCTCGTGAATAAAGTCGACCAGAGCAAGCAATCGCTTCCGTTTAACACAGTATTTTAAATCTCAGTAAATTATAAAATGCCTTCCTTCACCGCACAGGAAACCGTTGTACAGTAATCCTTTCGTTGCGTTTCACACAGTCATACCACCGGAGGCCCGAGCGTTCAAACGCCGACCACGCATTTGTGACTGTACCTCTTGAGATGCAGGTATTGGCGGCGGTTGTCACTTATGAGACCCGTCTGCTCCTTTGCTCCCCATACGGTAAAAAAAAACTGGGAGAATAAAATTCTATGAATGTCACCAAACACTAACATTGTAATTTTTATTTGGCGTAGTCACTATCTGTAATTAGTGATATGCGTACCTAATATGTTTTATCT